AATGTGATTCCGCCAATTGCAAAATGCCGGCCTCACGAGGAAGTAAACGCTGAATGGAAAGTGGGCATGTAAAAAGCGAGCATGCGGACAAACGGCGCCTGGAACACACTCACTTCGGGGCATATGGAGCAAACGGGCCATGTTTTTGTTTGCCCAGCATAACAAGCCTATGAACGCTTACAGAAGCACACTGTCCATCCAGTCCCGACAGGGACACCTAGCCCGTGCGACTGGGCTGATTACCATGTTAAATAGAGGTGTTTATAAAGAGTCTGCAGGACGGTATTGACGACGCGGCAGAGACCACTGAGGTTGCGAAGGGCAGGATGGCGATGCCCAAGATAATAGAGCAAGTATGGGTGGTGGTCCCTAACCTTACAAGGGATGCTTCCACCAAGGAATACTGCGAGATTTTCGACAGCCAAAGCAAGGATGTTTTCGCTAGAACATGTAACATAGCAGGAGATAGCCCAGCTCGATGCAAAGGGCTGGTCCATGCACGTTCTAGGAGAGATTCGCCGTGCGCTGAGCGCACCCGTACAACCAGGGATTCCGCCGAATGTCAATCCGCCTTCAACAGTTAACACGTTTACGGTACCCGCGACGAGAGACTGTGTTTGCCTCTCGCATCCTGGGCAAATTCGGCATTGACTTTATGCCCGTCCAACTCGAGCCCATTGTCCTACTGAGTCGTGTATCAGACTCCCATATGACGGAGCGACTCTCTTTGAACGACTGGGTCGGCAGGACGGTGGCCATCACAGACCCCCCTTAAACCTCGCACTGGGTGCTGGAGACCAAGTTATGTGATAGGAACAGTCAACATTCGGCAGACAATTACAACAAGCCTCCAGGGCTGGAACAACTCGTCACGGTGTTCCCAGCGCCCAGTACGTTTATTTGCAGGAGCGTCACAGACCCAAAAGACTATATGAAGCCAGCGTAAACACCATGCTCAAGTTGCCATAAAGGCTCCTGTATTGCGATATCTACAATTAGAGCGCGAAGTTTGACTATTCTTTGCTTTACGGCAGACTGCGAAGTCCGCCCATCTTGACCCTCGTGCACCAACAACTCCCGCTATTATAACCGCACCAGACCCAAACCCTGACTAACGTCATAATCAGTATTGCTTCAATGCCAGGTATGGTCTAGTAAACAGTGCTTAGATGGGGTACACAATAATCTCCAACAGTTAACCCAAGGCGGGATGTGATGGACATGGCAATGAAAGTGATTGTTAAGAGTCTGAGCATGCTAATATGGTTTCCATTCTCTAAACATTCTTTAATAGAATGCTTACAAGCCACAGCCATTATGATATAATACCCACGATGAACTACCATAGGAAGGAGAGCTGAGGTGATTGGCTTATGGCCACCGGAGACCACCAACATTCTATGTGCATGTTATGGATGCAATCTAGTGATATTCAGCCCAAGGCTTGTTATTCACGCCTAAATGTGGTACAATTGGAATGAAGCGCAATAGAACTGACCACAAAACACATTTTCAAGTCCAATAAACGCAACCAGAGAAGGATGGAACGGCTGGGCTTCCAAGTCGCGTCTCCAGCAGAAGCTGGGCAACACCCCAGTGCCCTGGCCACAGTCATTACTCCCCAAGTATAGGCATATACTGTGGCCTGTGCTTTGCTCACGCTAATAGAAACCCTCAAGATTTAAAGCACGACCCCCTAACCAAAGATATCTCTACATGAACTCAAACACGGCGCGTGCTTCTCGCAGATGCGTCCTTGCTGTGAACGGGCAATCCCCTGCTCGGGAAACAGCTGAAGGTAGACTCTCCAAGCTAACGGCGGGCATTCTGTGCTTGATATGTTGGCTTCGCATATCCCGCTGCTATTGGGAGGGCTGGAGATGCAAGAGCACGAAGACAGGCGAAGACTACGAAGGGGACTGCGCGGGTAGCAAGCATTAACATTTCGATTCAAGTATACATCCCTGGAGCCAATCCAACTCAATGCCAACGCATTTAATCACACAAACTTGTCCCAGATTGCAACAAGATTTGTTATGCCTGAACACGCACTAATCAACCAGCCACCACAGATGACGCGGGCGAGTATATCAGGGAGTAGACAAGAAGTGTCTCACACGAGATTGGCTACAACTTGGAAGCGAAGGAGCGCTACCCAGTGAGCAGGAACAGCACAAATGCAAAGACAATAGGAAGCATCTCCTGCTTGCATGGGGATGACTCCATGTAGATATCAAAGCAAGTCAAGATTTGGTAAAGATACAAAAGGCCTAAAGTCCGCGGAAAATGTTATAGACATTCAGAAAACTTATAAGGTCAAACGCGGGAAGGAGGCCACGATGTCTGGCAGGGTAGTCGCCCAAGGGTGATCTAAGCCTGCAGCAGGAGCCCTAGACTATATCTCTTCTATAAAACTAACAAAATAACTATTTTACACATGGCAAGCAACATGAACATTGGAAGCACACCTGGGCAGATGCTTTTCTCATCCGTTACATTAATTGTGAAGTCTGATGTTAGACAGCTCTTCCATCCCATGCTATAACGTATCGACTGGCAAGACAAATTCGGTAGCCGAATATCTGCACCTGCATCTAGCAATAGGTAGGAAGCGCTGAGCCATCCCAAAACCTGAACTACGGCCCCAATATCCTGTCACACACGGAAAAAGCTACAGTCTGATACCTGGTCAAGGTTCATCACACATGCGAGCAGCTGCCCGGGCTCGGAGCTTGTTTTCGTAACAGCAATCAACACCACACGTGTTTGCGGCGGATTTGTGTACTCGCCTCGAGATTCAAGTACACAAAGTAAGCAAAGAAGCGTCGGCCGAGAGATTCGCCAAACGGACGTCGACGTACGTTGGGCTGGTTAAAAGAAGCCAATAATTGAGCTAGAAGACCTTTAAAAACTCTCCAATTAAGTATATACAATAACCAGAAAACAAAAGTGCTGAATCACTACCTCTGGCTTGTCATTTACTATAATTACCTGAAACCGCGGAGCGGCGAGACCGTGACTTGAAGAAACTCTGAAAGAAGGGTTTTCTCGCCGAGAATTACCGCGGGGGAAAACCTTGAACGGATACGCCTTTTGCCGTAAAGGTCAAGAAGTTGAGTGATTTCAGTGGCAATGGCCTCTTTTGTTGGAAGGTGGACAGAGGTCACCACAAGAAGAAACAGGTCCACCCGGGAGGCGATTACCAAGTTGCTAAAGGTGAATTAGAAGTGGCCCCTGGTGCTACTATACCAGCGTGGGATATCGGCGATATACTCACCCTCGGCACCCCTTTTCGTTACGTCGTCGTCAACATTCAAGCAACCCTTGGGAAGCATCAATTTGGGTAAAAGTCAACCCACAACCACCCCAATCGCCAGGCCCTCAAGGCAATTACTGCACACGGCGTTGATTTTGAGCACTTGCATGTGCAGCGCATCCTTGAATCGACTCGTCGCCAGAATGCCACGGAAACACACGCACGAGGTCGTCATTTCCAAGTTTGACAAGCTAATATCCCATGCTCTAGTGCCCATGGGCATCTGTCAGCTCTGTCTTTTCCGGCGCGCGCCCGAATTGCCTACCTACATGAGTTCTACTTCAGAGAGCCACAGTATCACGAGTCACACGCCTTTATTCAAAGCTATATAATAATTCCAGGAAAATCCAATCGCTGCGGGACTAAAAGTCCATGGAGGATGTTAAGCGCGAGTTACCGCAGGGGTTTTATGCTGTCCGCGAAATCCAATAAAGTATGGTGTATGTAAAGGGAAATAACACAAAATACATAGCATAGAAAGTAACAAGCTGGCCGTGGCCTAAAAGAAATTCAGCTGGGCATCTCCTTGCAGACGTGGAAAGGGCAGGAAGGCAGTGGCATTGGCCATTGCAGCTAAAGAATATCTTACCGATAAAAAGAATGAGAATAAAAGGGGTTGCTTTCCGATAATGCAGGATAATAGTGCCACCTACCTAGGTATGCTTCCGGGCCTTCCCAACGCAGAAGACAAGTGCCGTTTGTGTGTGGAAGGGTCACGATGTAAGTAGAACAATCCCTAAGAAATGTCTGTTACCAGTAACGGTGCATCCGCGATAATAACAATAACAGAGCGGACCTGGTGTGTATAGGGCAAGCGGCCAGTGTTAGCAGGAGTAGTGCCGGGACTGCAAGGAGACAACATACTTGACAATTAAAAAAGTCAAGGCCAGTGGCACAACTACTCAAGCTTAGAGCCTTTAACTCCTATATAAACACAATCATAGTTACCTCGGCTTATGACCAAGATGGCCTTGATGGGCGAGGTTTGATTACCTATTGTATCTAGGTACGAGATCCACTCCTTCCTGGTTGACTTTGCCTTCGATGCGGAATTGTGGATAGCTAAGGATAGGGCGCATCTCCATGATTGGAAGACCCACGGACTCGCCAATAACATTGTATTTTGCTTTCTGGCTTTTAATCTGAACCATCTACAGCTCTTAAGTAAAGCACTCACTGTTTGAGATCCTGGAATTCAATTGAGAATTGGAAGAAGCCGCGGAGCTCGGACCGGGAGACTGTGAGTACAGAGAAAGCAGCGCCAACAGGCTAGAGCTTCGGGAAAGGGCGCCGAACCAGGCAGGACCGGCGTCACGGGCAAACATGTATTATGCTGCTGAACGGGTGATTATAGTTTATTACTCCTACAGCCGCATCTCAGCTTTATCACTGCTACAGGTCTCTTCCTCCATGGCCACGTCTCGACCCTCATCACACTGCTCGACGGGTTCTTCCTGTCTTTTGCTCTATTGATGCTCTCCGGGGGCACTGCATCAACAGCACAACAGCATTTGCCTTTTCGGCTGAATCACCAAGATGGCAAGGACGTGGGAGGCCATCTCAGGGTGCCAGGGACTAAAAAGGCCAGGGATAAGTCCAGCCACAAATCGTAAGAAGTACTATCTAATTAGTTCTAGAGACGCATGAAAACTGATCAGCGGACCGGCTCAAGTTGGAACCTAGAATGGTATGTCCAGGCGCCAAGCTAAAGGCCGCAAGGAGACTGGGCTTCCAGAGGGAAGCTGAGCACACCTGTGAAGTACTCCAACTACAGGCCCAGCATTTGATCCGTGATGTCGAACGCCTTACACTCGAACGAGACGACTACCGCAACCAGAGGGACCAATGGGAGGAGATGGCGAACACCGTGAATACCGAGAAAGAAGAACTGAAGGCGGATCTGCGAGAACAAGTGGCGGTAACTAGACGGACCCAGGAACAGCTTGCAGCTATCTCAGAGACGTCTCCTAGCATCTTATCAGGAATGACGAGCTGAACGATTTGCAGGCAGTCATAACTTCCAGGATGACCTCGACTCTGGCAAACCGGACAGCGTGGAAGACATGGGCTGTGATCGGAGCTCAATCGGGAAATTGATTGTGAACCATTGGAAGGAGCGGGAGGCCTCAAGAACACAGGCCATGAGGGACAATGCAGCGATTGAGGAGCTTAGCGCCCTGGATAGGCAGCGAGCATTGTAACTAACTCGGCCGAGTGGCGCTTCATGTGCCTCGACAAGGAGAACAGGCTAAGATTTCCATCCCTTTTCGTCCCACTTCAGCCAGCGTTTGACAGAGTAGGGTATAGAGCGAGCCCAACCATTTTGACGGGTCGACCCAGCCTAGGTGTAACTCAAACAAAGGCTAATCAACGCCTCAAGTGGCGGATGAGGTGCCGTGGCAGGATATCTGCGGATGAAGTCTATGAAGCCTTTGAGCTTAAGAGCAGCGAGATGCCATTGGTTGTCGAATCTCTTCATGAATACCAACGGTCGGGGATGCGTTGGATCCGAGCCATCTCGTTACTTGGTACCAGGGGTTGCGGCATGAACTCGATGAGAAAAGACCTATGACGACGTTGCAACGGTTAAACGTTTCTCGGGATCAGCGGTCTTCGACCAGAGCTTCTCCATGGGTAGGAAAAGGCGCGATAGAAGAAGGCTAGAGAGAGTCTCTCCACATATGGACATGTTTTGGAGAGGCTATTGGACCAAGAGATATTAATGTTGTCAGTGTAGTTTATCTGAGCGGGTGCTGGCACTTTTTAGGGTTCCCCTCGGGTGGCCCATAGTCCCACATAAGAAAAAAAGGTGCAAAAAAAGATCCCCTTGGGTGGATTCGAACCTCCGATCTCTTGATGGCAAAGTTGCTATTACAGTCAAGCGCATTAAACCAACTATGCTACAAGGGGATTTGTTAATTCCTCGCTCACTTTTTGTACTTATAAGCGGCAACAAACTTTCACCAAGCTCCCTGGGCAAATCCTGTCGCACATGTGCTGCTTAAGTTATGTAAAGTTGTCAGTGCTGGAAAATCGGGTTCCCTGGTATATAATAAACTTGAGTAGGCTTATCTATTTCTCAAGGCCACTTACGCTGTAAGATCCATTACTTTGGCTTACAATCCGTTAGCCCGTGACGCATCAAGTTGCGTCCTGATATATATATTTCGAGTGCGGGATTCCCAATGCACTTCCGTTACCTTCCGGGTTGGTTCACTCCGTACTTCCTCGCCTACTCCTCTTGCTAGTCAAGAGACATAGGACTCATGAAGGTGCCCAGGTGAAGTGCAAGACTTGCATTCATAGACTCCAAGAACATGTTTCTTGCGATCTTGCAGGTGTTTCTTATCGGAGAGAGAAAAGATGCCATCGAGGATGCCTCCATTGCCCGTCTGCTCGCAGGTTGCTTTATTGAACAGTACACCCTTGTAGATGGAGACAGCAGCACATGCTGTAAGGTATAAGTTGGTTGTCATGCATAAACCAAGAGAAAAACCCATCTACGCAATCCGAAGCCTCATAACTAAAACGTAGGTACAAATCTGACGCTACCGGGCTCGTTGTAATCGCATCAGCCGCACAAGGAACTATTTCATGCTAAACCAGAAGTCCCCCGGCATCAGTTCTGTGTGTTCCTAATCCCCAATACTACGACTCACTTTACTTTATAGGAAGCGAGCGCATTGCGCGGTTTCAAACCATCGTCACCATGCCTGGGAAGTCCTCGATCTTGCATGAGCTGGCTGGCTCTGTTTACTACCCCAACACAGGAGTAAGTCGCCTGGTTGGTGCTGCGAATCCCCCTACGGCCGATGGGTATGGACAAGGGTTCGGAGTATGCGGACTATTAGCTCATCCCCTGAGCATTCCTGTACGAAAATGGCGCAACGGGAACTGATTCCCGAGGTCCAGAAATCATGACGCTGCACAAATAGTCGGCTGCCATCTTCAATACGCGGCACTGAAGCGAAAGCAACAGAACGAGTGAATACTGTCCAATAGCCTAACCACAACCAGTGCGTCCGTCCAGCAGTTGGCCGTAACTGCTATCACTGCGTGACAAACAAAGGCGGCTGCATTTTTTTGCCTTCCTGTATAAAAGTAAACGTTGCGTTTTTGCAACGTATGGACCCTAACAACCTTAACAAGTGTATTTGGCACTAGGATGCGTTCACGTATTAGGTCGAGCTGGTTATAAAGGCATATAATAAAAAGTTAAGTGCAGAGGTCCGCGCCATGATAATACTGGCTACGGCCATTTAAAAGCTTGTTTAGAGTTTCCGGCTCGCTGCCGGTCAGCCCCCGGCCCTCTTCGACAACGGTTTGGATGCCCATTGGACATCCAATGTCTTTCCTTTGAAAGACAAGCCCGCCGCGCCCCCAGAAAGAATACTGGGAAGAAAAAGAAGACGCCGGCCAAGGCCCCTGCCCCTGCGCTTAAGGTTCGTGGACAGGATAGAATTACGGCGCCATAGCCTCAATCTGCTCCTCTGCCCCGTCCGCTGGTTCGAAACTATCTTCGAACAGAATTGCATCCGTCCCACACTAGTAGAACACCGGCCAGTCCTTTACACGCACTCCGCGTTCATGGACGGCATCGGAAGATTGGTCGGGTGTGACGAAGCTCCGTCCTTGCGGCGAAGCCAAGGGTCCATCTCCAGCGCAGCCTTGATCTGTTAGAAAAGGACATTGTCCAGACAGAGAGTCCAAGGCCAGTTCGCCCGGACCGGCAACCAGTCCCCAGAGAAGCTCAAGAATCACACGCGTTTTGTTATACTGCATGCTCTTCTTGCTCTTACTTCCTGGTGCACGTGCAAAAGAGTTTCAACAAGCGTGCCGAGGATGTTGGAAAGGCGTTCAACAAGGTGCCCACCGAGGTTCGTTCCATGGACAATCTGCGCCGGGCTATTCTGCTGCTTGTCGAGGAGATGCGTGAAGCATATGTTGGTGTCTCCAGATCTTCCACCCAATGTGGGCGGCACCTACTGTTATAACAAGTAGCTACGCTATAGTCGCAAAGAGAGGGGGTACTGCCCCATGGATGGCTTGTTCCGCTCGTGATTATTGCTCACTTATACATACCTTGGTTATACCAGCCTCTGAGGCCACACCTACTAGATCATGATTCATCTCTTTGGCTTACCCAATGGCACCAGCCGCCCAGGTGTCTCCTAAACTCGTAAACCGCTGCAAAAGGGGTGGGTGGGCACTACGGACCACGTGACCTCGTAGCCCTGACTCCACCACAAAATTCTGCACGGCTCCGTCCATGACGCCCAATTTTTGAGCCCACTTCAACAACCATCCGATATGGTGTAATGGTTAACATCGGTGTCTCTCACACACCAGCTCGGGGTTCGATTCCCCGTGTCGGAATTGCTTTTTGCTTTTTGCGGCGAGAGGGCAAAACTCATTGACGATGTGTAGGTGGCGGTTGAAAATGCCTTGTCTAACGAATCATTCCGGTTCCGTAGGCCTGAAGCAAGCTGAACCCTTTTCCGTTCACAGCGCCTTGTGAAAGAGCAAGATGGTACCAGGACAAGCTGCCCTGCCCTTTGGTAACACCCTGACTAGGATGATGTACTGCATGGGCCAGCAATGGAATTTTGAAGACAGTTACCCCATGCTACTCGGGCTGATATTGATTTATTATCCGAAGCACTACGCCGACGCTTTTCAAAGGTGATTACGCAGATTGGGTTACGGGAAATGTTAACCGCAATGGTTCCTGCGGGTTAACCTCTAGGTCCTCGTACAAGACCAGCTGCTCAGGGTCCTGCGAGGAGGAGGTTAGTCAGGGAAACGGCGGAGGTTCCAAACAACTTGGATTGAAGGCTTTCTTGGTTCGTGTACAATAGCAAAGGCAAATTGGCACTGGCAGGTGTTTGGGCGTAAAAAAGTCAATCGTTGAAGGCTCAGGCCTGCACGACCCGGTGGTTATGTTACAACAATTGGTGTCCTCTCTAAGAACTGTGAGGAACTAAAGCCCACTGAGCTCAACCAACGAACCGTGATTATAACTAGTTTTCAAACACTTGAAACACGCCACGGCCCCACGAAATGCAATGCTGTCTTAGCAGGTACGCTGAATTTTGAAAACCTCTCGTTAGCACAGCCGTATGACTATCCCGAAAGCCTTAAGGGAAAGTTTAATTTAGTTGTTATAAACAAAGCTTACATCGTCCAAAATGCAACCTCAAGCTCACATGCAACACTGCGGTGGTTAGAACCGGATTTTACCCTCCTCCGCACCGCGACACCCTTGTTTAATAGTTGTCGTGACATGGAGGCCCTCGCTCAGTTTATGCGAGATGGGTAAATGCAAGAGGAAGACCGACAAAGTATTACTTAGAGTTCAATGGCATACAAACACATCCATGTGTTTGTATGGATGGGATCGGGTATGAGCCAGGCTCAACACAACTACCCGGTACTACAAGCATCCGTTTTCCAAAACGTCCGCGACTTCCAGTTGCGACATGCGTCGCGGCAACGGGAGAATGCATTGGTGAACCCCAAAGCTCTTCTCGTCGGTCATACATTCCTCAACGAGTTTGTAACAGTCAACAACCTTGGTCCAATCCGGGGATCTATTCAGGATACTTTTCCACTACTTTATACAATCCTCTAAAAAGCAGCAGCCCTTCCGAAATGCCGTTATCTTATGATTTGCCGACTTCGTCCCCTATATGGCCTGAAAGTGTTGTAGAGGAGACACCTCCGCCGCTTGATCTCGAACCATCCGCACCACCTCATGTCCTCTGGAAAGTTGGAAACCCCTTTGTACCTCGCTGTTCGACGTGGATTTTTGTAAATAGTTAATCCTTAGTTGCGTCACGATGCAGATCCAGCCACGAGGTCCCACCAGGGCACCCAATCAGCATATATGCTGTCAGTTAATAGGGGACGCGTCGAAAAATCAGGGATGCGTTGATGCGAAAACTTGAGGAGGCAAATGATGACGTCGAGTCCTTGAATTTATGATATTGTTTCTATTGAAGCTATGCCGCTTGCCAGGAAGAAAAGTCCACACAAGCCAATTGGGATTTAAGACAGACAGAATGGCATTGCTCAAACAGCATGCTCGCCGAACTTGAATTGCAGAAAGATCTATCCGCGTGACTCCTTGCAGTGGAACGCGATTAGGAGGATATCTTGGACTTGCTTTATCCAGCCTCTTGCCATGGCCCTGGAAGTTTTATTTATTGATTGGCTTTGTGGCTGGCTGAATATGCTCCATAATATATTATAGCTTAGTGACTTCAGAATGGCCCCGAGAATCCATGTTGCCTTATTTTAACCTTGTTACGGTAACTACATGCATTGGGCGCTACAGTTGGAGAGCGATGATCTTAGTAACCTCTTCAAAGTCGTGTGAGAGCTTTGAGGATGGGTTGGTCTTGGTTAATTAGAAGATTCTCGACTCGCCCGACCACAACAAAAATACAGGAGCAAAGGTCTTCCAGCGGCTTACAGCCCTCAATACCGGGGCATTCAGTTGAACACAAACACAATCGAAATATACCCGAATGTTCCCAAGAATCCTGATTTTGAAAGTACAAGGGGCATTGATATCTTCCTTATCTTAGCAGACCAGCAAGGTTTTACCAAGGCAGACATGCTATTATGGCAACAATGAATTTGACACGGGAGAACAAAGGGACCACCATGAGACGTGGCTTTGCAGAAGGGGCCCAGGTCCAACCATACATGGAGAGTATACGCAGTTACATGCATGCCGCCACTGCGTCGCGCGATTCACTTCCTAGGGCAATTATACCGCCACATGATGTGGTTGTGCGATGGCAAAGGTCTTCCAAATGCTGAAAGGTTTGAATTATTCAATGTTCCTTGTCCTTTGGTAACTTTTGTATTCTCTCTGGCAACCTTGAGTGCTTGTGCTAACCAGGGTTTCCATACTACCAGCCACAATGTGCTATTCCAGCTGCTGGATAGTAACTATCCTTATACCAAGACCGCTTCTACTTATATTCCATGGCAGACATAGACATATTAGCTATTCAACTGGAAGTAGGTGGTTGCACAGTGTTAAGAACACACCGAGCCTCAGTCCGAGCCTCAGTCCGAGCCCTAATTTAAGCTTCAGGCCGAGGACCGGATTAAGCTTCCTAATACACCAATTGAGTGTCATCCTCGGCTGAAAACTTGCTTGAGCATCGTCGGGTTTGGTGTGTTACAACGGTTCGGGGAATCAGTTTTATTAGTCAAAGCTCTTCATATATGGAGATTTCGGCCGCGAAAGGACCTCGGGAAGGAAACAGCCACTTAAAGACGCATATCCGCCGGGATACTGGCACAACCAGGCAGTCTGATGTTCTCACTCGCTCAGGAAACTGCCAACGTTCATTCAAGCCTATCAATATAATAGCGCCTTTAGAATCACAGGAGAAGAAGACAGACCCGAGGGAGGTAGGCTGCTTCAGCCAGGCAGACAATCAGCGTATTTATTCACCTTTCAAGGGCTCCTGCATCTATCACCTGGTACCTCGCTTGGCTCTCTTTCATTGCCCGGCTGCTGCTTGACAATTTGCCAGGGGCATGTAGCTCTCACGCGGCATGCTATGTCTTGTGGAAATCAACATGGAGCGGACACCATTAGTGGGGGAAAGCGTCTTTATTACTGAAAACATCTGCATCGTGGTCTAATAACTGGCTTGTTTGTGGCCTCCTCCCGCGTAAGAAGAAGACGGGTATCAACGTCGATGATTCTCTTTCTTGGTATCAATTACTCACGGCTAACTGTAACACCGCTCTTTGTAAGAACACGCAGATTTAACTAATAAGACATGCTTTTCTTCGTATTTGCTTTTAGACAGACACTGGTGAATATGACCATGTTACCTTACCTCTATTATGGCCTGTCACGAGACTGCTGCTTTATTGTCCGAGGTCTAAGTGGGCTTCGAGCTCAGACATGAAGATGGTAACACCATAACCTTGAGAAAAACTTTTCTTTTCTCCTCTAAACTTACAAAATCCAGAAACCAAAGAGCTCGGAATATATTCAGCCAACGTTCCCGACCCCTCAGGCCCTGCACCCACCCTAAATCAACGGAGAGATGGTGCTCCATCTCCCCAAGTTTTATTTCAATGTGCCATTGAGAGATCTGCATTATTTGCAGTTAGAGAAGCCTGCCATGTCGTTGGAATGTAACGCTTGCTTCGCAAAGCAGCAAAGAAATAGCCGGGGGCCTCGCGCAACAATTTCTCAACCATGGTCTCGGAGGAGGCTTGGAAAGGCTTAACTGCGAATAAAGATACCATCCTAAGTAAGTAAACTACCAAGCATATCTAGGTCGTCGGGCAATGCTCTCGGAACTGTCGAGCCGCCTAGTCCATGCACAGATAGATTACATCTGCTCAAGGGCGTACGCGGGCAGGGAGGCTGGGGAGGCGGCTGCGCCCAAGCATGGTTAGGTACCTACCGCGATCATGACGACGACGAGAACCTCGGGTTATGTTGGATCAATTTAAAGATGCAGTCAGGTTCCCTAGGTCTCCTCGTACTTATTAGGTTTAAATTATCCCGATATGCACCCATTGCTGCTCCCAATTCCTCTGGAGGGCTTATTCACCTGCAATCAAACAAAATTACCGCAAGGGGAACCATAACAGTTTAGGGACGTCTCTGCTCGACTACTGCTAGTGCGCCAGGCCCTGTTTTGTTGTGTCGTCTTATGGATGGCAGCAAGTCCTACTTGGGCGTACTCTTAGTAAGATCGCTGCGGTGCTAAATGTCTATAATAAAGTGGACACGAAATGGTGGCTGCACATGCGGGGGTGATTTCAATATAAGGCTTACGGAATCATGGCCCAAGTTATTATGTAGTTATCTGGGGAGACTAACTGTGGCATGGCACCTTCCTAGCTTGTGCGAGAGTCTGGGCAGAAAGAGCTACCCAGCACCTTCGACGCCAAATCGCGGGCGCTTCTGCCCCATACTTCCCAGGCAGGTGGTATGGTAACTCGCCCAGCTACCGCGGAGTGCCTCAATGGCGAAGATGCAGCGGACTGGCATCAATACCTCCAAGTACTACAGAAGCGCAGGCCGGTGGAAGATGTCAAGCGCGAATGGGCTCACGGGTTTAGTGGAGTCCGCGAACTACAGGAAGATGTGGTTCGTGTCAAAGACCAAATCCACACAATGATGCGTGGGTTCAGAAAGGAAGTGGGAATTGAAACGCAACCCGTCACGGGTGAAAGACTGGCTAGCAGATATCAAGCAATTGATCTTTCCTGGTGTGTAGTTGCATCGAGTCCTAACAGCGCTTGCATACATTGGCCAGCCAAACCCAATGGAAGTATAATCCTTAGAAATGGACTATTAAGAAGATCAGGCATCTGATAATTAGAGACTAAGCCGAGCCTTTTATCAGGTACTTCTTATTGTTGGATCCCCGTTATACAATACAAGAACAGTAACTTTAAGAATGCTCGATGAGCACATCGTCTACACGGACCACGCGTCTATGTAAGAATCCCCAAGCAGTTCCTGCTAAGCACCGTCGCTCTGTAAAACTTGAATGTACGGCTGTTCCACGCTAGTCGATTCATGCAGCAATTTAGTCTGGAGGTTTACCATAAACTGGGAAAGACGAATGTTGGACCCGACGCTCTATTGCAGCTACCTAATCAGGGGACTGCCGTGACATGCAATGCCCTTGAATTGGCTGCTATAATCTCCCCGAGTGCGTTGGACGCAGACCTGGGAGTGCTTTGGGAAGCCGGTCAGAATCAGCTGGGAAACGCCATGGCACCCGGTAATAGGGTGTGGAAGATCAAGAACAATGGCTTTCGTTTTAAAATAGTGATCATCTTGACCATTGTCATCCTTCTTTCACATTCCGCGGAGAGTATGAAAGAGTCACGGCCCTAGCGCCAGAAGACCGAGTTGGCACCATGGGGATTGTTACTTTTTCTGCAGTCTTTGTTGTGCACAGCTCTGCTATTAAGCTATAGTAAGAGCTTCCGGCGGATTACCAGACCTTACTATTAACAAGTCCTCTAATGAAAATAGCCCCGGCTAATTTGTTTGGATGTCACATCTTGTCATGCCCGTGGAGACCAAACGGGCCACCAGACCTGGGAAAGAATGGGATTCGCTCAAAGAAGGCAGGGGAACTGGATGCATATAGTATCCAGAGGACGTGCGCCTAGCCCCTAGGTTGGGGCAACCCCTGGAAGGCCCACCCTCCTCCTCCCCGAAGCCCAAGGAGTACAATCGGTCGACTGCAATCAGCGATGAAGAAAGTGCCACTTGGCTTCTATGCTCGGGTGGTAATATTAAGACATGGAGACTGACATTGACTGAGCTCAGGACGCTAGACTGACAGCGATTAAACATGGTATCCGATCAACACGCTGCCCCTTTGTTATTGGAAGTCTTAGGCGATATATCTATTTCCATGTTGTTGCAACCCAAAACTGTCAAGGCGGCGGAAAAATAAAGGACTCGAATAACAACTGGATTCTTAATAACCAAGGCGAACTGGTGGTGTTCCCCCGCGGGAACTTGCATGGCCCTAATTATAATTATATTTTTTAGGGTCCTAGCCTAGCTTGCGCTTGCTATTAAGCACTAGGCAAGAAGTATAATCCCCTTCCCGTGTGCATGTATAATAATATAAACATTTTATAGTACCTGCTGGCTAGCCGGAGCTTAAAAAAATACTTCGCGATGTAAAAGAAGTTCTTAAAGCGCGCTAAAAATGTTAACAAAGCCTTTAATAAGGTGACCACGGAAGTCCGGTTGATGGACGACCTGCGCCGGGCGATCCTTTTACTTGTTGATGAGCTTCGTCAAGCTAACGGAAAGGTTCTTGTCGATTTCGACGAAGGCTACCGCATACAATGATCAACACACACACGTCCTTGTTCCAGGCGGACAGCGAAAAATGGCTCGATGTTAGGCATAGGAAATTCCTATGTTGGGCCAGGAGAAGAAAAACACGAGGCATTTATAAAAGAACTCAATTGACGAATTGACATACTTGTGCTCGAAGCAATGATTGCTACCGCGGGTCAAATACTTTAAGCTCGAGGGCCTGAAAGCTTGCATGGTTTGAAAGTCCTGTCTCTGCTCTTTCTCTGTTCCTATGGCACGCCGCCTTGATAAGACTAATATTATAGTATCGCCAGACGCCTTTTTAATACTGCCCCAAAGAACACGAAGCTTAGTGAACTTGGAGTGTTTATGGTGGTACATAGCATAAACAGCGCGGCTGGACACCGCTGACTTCTGGTTAACTTTAATTTATATAGTGATATTAAGGCCAAACGAGTGCCATGTGGCCATGCTATGCAGGTGTACGTCCATAGAGAATCTTGGTTTCCGGTCTATAGAGGGCAAACAGTCCTTCTTGAGGGGTCCTGGCCTATCTGGGAGCATGGAGGCTTCAGACTGCAGTGTTCCCAGAAGCAATAACTAGCAATTTATCGTTCGGGGCAGTATTGAAGAGGTGTCTGACGACATATATCCCGCCCAGCTGTTTCTGGAAACTAAACACAAAGAGCCTATACCCGCTGCAGAGGTCAAGAAACGAAATGTGCAACGCAAACAAGGGCACTGTGAAAAAGAGTGCTCAAACTTATTTGTCCCCTTAGTTTGTTTGCCGTGACATGATAAGCTTGCTTAGGTATGATATCTATCTACACCCATGTGTTAAGGGTTGTTGTGATAGCAACCGACTACAATGCACGACGCATTTTCTTCTTGGTCACTTGGTTCACCTGCTGCTTCTACCAGCAAACACAGAACTACCGAGAAAGTTCCTGATGCCAATGAGCTTACCACAGCTGTGTTCAGCCTAGCTGCTTGGAATGGAATGCATGGTTCCCGCGGATCCTCGTTGCGTGAGGCTAAGCCTTGGAAAACGGGCGGAAGCAAGTCAATATTCGCCAGCAAATGGCGTCCTCGAAACTGCCAATGCCGTTCGTACTGCCAGTCAAGTGACAGGATATGACAAGTCCTTGGATGGCGCGAGACGAAGGACACAATGGTCCGGGGTGCCGTACACTTCCAATCCTGGTTTCCGAGCGGGTCATTGGAAGGGGACTATGAGCAACAATTAAAATTCTCGATGCCACCACGCGAGGTCACGTCTATTAAGGCTAAATTGACCTAGCATAGATCCGCAAGCGCGCTGTTCTTACAGCATGGATTATTTACCGGACTCGAAACCACGCACAATATAAAAAAAAGACGCTGCGAGGACGCCTTAACAACAAGTATCCCTGCCACGAAGCGTTGAAGAAGCCTGCAAGTTATTTCCTAATTCTTAAGATAATGAAGGACGGGGCAGTTGCACATACATGAAATCAAGCAGAAGGCCTCCTCCTTACACGTATGATACACGGAGCTCGAGTATGCACCGTGAAATGCATGCTTAGCCAGGGCATTCACCAAAACCCTGGTGGTTCTTTCCCTCCCGCACTCCCTGACCTTGGTGTCTTTATGGTTGTCCACCACCTAGACGGCGCTGCTACGTAGGTAGGCATTATCGGCTTCCATTTGACTTTGACTTTAACGGAGACATTAAAGCAAAGCGGGTTCCCTGCGGCCCTACCATGCGGCTGTACATTCCCGGAGGGTACAGGTTTCCTGTCCATAGGGGACAAACTGTCCTCTGCGGAGAAGCCCTGACTTATTTACCATCCTGGAGGTTTCAAAGCTCCCCGGAACACAAAACACCTACAGTGATTTCTTGTTCGCGACTGCTCCTGCATCCCCGGCACCACTACAACCACAAATGCAGCCTCCTTCCCTAACAATCTTGAGGTCGCACCTTCCCAGTCGAACAGCGCCCTTTCAGTAAGAAGTATTGCATCTCACAAAGACGTTGCTGCATTACTGTACCCCTATCTTATCCTAAACTAGCTCGGACCCCTAGGGAAGTTAAGAATAGTACCTATTAGGCAATCCTTGCAATGCCGATCCTTTGCCCATCATCGGTGCGGACACACGGACCATTGCTGCCGGTGTTTTTTAATTTTCCCATAAGTCCCTGCTCTGATTTTCTCGAGACCTGATGGCATCCGTCTGGTGTCGCCGTGCGCATGTTCTCTGGCTGCGCGTGGGCAACAAATTTTAGCTCACGGTCTCCATTTAATACCCAGTCTGCAACATGCACAGCTGCAAGATTCAAGTCAAACCACGATGGAACAGAAACATGGAATGACAGGCCGGTGCGTGTCTGCTGCGCAAAGGACAGACACAAACCGTTCGAACCGTTTACCCAGTGGCGACCAACAGGGACGGCGACACTGAGGTACTCAGGGTCCAACGGGGAAAGACGGTTGGTAACAACCGGATCATGAAGACGATCGTTCAGCCATAATTGCCCGCCGGCCTGAGCTTGAAAGACTGTATGGCAATGCAGAAAAAGTTTAACAAGCGCGCCGAAGACGTGGGCAAAGCTTTTAACAAAGTGCCTTTGGACGTCCGCTTAATAAATAACTTACACCGGGCTATCCTCTTGCTCGTGGACAAGCTCCGTGAAGCCAACAGGAAGTCCTTGGTTAATTTTAACAAGGGATACCAGGAGCTTTATGGCGAGAACGTTTTTGACCAGAGCAACCCCTTAAGGTTCGGAACAAACCTTGTTCTCTTGCTCTCTGGCTAAGAGAGCGGCCAACCTTGCTTTTTTTATGTTTACTAAACGCAAGGCAGCGCCGGAAAAAGAATAGTTTTATTTAGCTATTATAAAAAATAAAGAAACAAGGCAGGGGGCAAGCAGGAACTAAACTAAAATTATATAAGCTAGTTATATAATAAAAATAATTTAAAATTAAAAGTTTTAAAAAAATTAAACTAAAAGTAAACTAATAAAAAAGCTATTTTAAAGTTAGGTGCTATTCTAGATGCGGATAGGTAGTAAAGTATTTTAAATAAAGTATTAAATATTATTTAAGGTCTTAAACCAGAGATAATAAATAATAAAAATAATAATAATAAAAAGCGTTATTATATTATAATATAATAATAAGTTAGTATTATAAATTATTAATTTATTATTTACCTAAGATAGCTTAGCGCTGGATTATAAATAATTTTTTTTTTTAAAAGGGGAGAAATTATTAAGGCTAATATTAATTTAGGTTATACTATTATATAATACTTAAGGCACCTAGGTTATGTTATTATAAAGTATTAATATTACCTAAGTTAAATACCTAAGGCACCTATTTAGCTTAACAAACCTTATTATTATAAATTATTATACAACTTAATTTAATAATAGCTTAAATACTTAGTTATTTATATATAACCAGGGACCTTAGCTTAGGGACCTTAAGATTTAAGTATTATTTAAAAA